CAGTTCTCATTGTTTTCTGGAAAGTGCATATTGGTCATGCTAGCTCACCCTGCGTTTGGAATGTATGGTTGTTATCCTTGCTTATGGGCCCCCAGAGTAACCTTAATTATTGAACAGAAAGGGCAGCTAAGTAAAAAAGTACGATTTCAATACATCTGTAAGATTTTTGGCCCAATCATGCATATCAAGTGTTAGAAAACATATTGATCGCTTTTCGAGAGAATGTATGTGAGCAGTTCTAGCTTGGGATCGATCTGCTCATTCTGTGCATGTTATAACAAAGCAGAGACCTAATGATGTTTTGACATGCACGAAGGTTTTAGAGTAGTTGGTTTAGGGGAAGGAAGACCATAATTGGGAGCCATATCAGAATCACATCTTTTTTTCCCCATGCTCAAATTTTGTGACCCTGTTTCCCACATTCCAGCTACCATCTCCGTTTGGGGCTGGCATCTCTCCTTCCCCTTGCCCTTTCCCTCCCTTGAGAATCACCGTGATTGATTGGGAGCCCCTTACACCGACTTTGTCTGCTATTAAGTCTCCAAATACTGGAGGCTGAGCTCTGGTGTCATACTGAGAGACACACCTCGCAGATTTCATATTATTCTGGAAATTCTTGCAGGCATACGGCTTTTTGTAGAGTACAGGAATATGTATTAAAAATTAAAATGAGAAAGTACCTGAAGTGTGTCATATCCTGTGAAGAGTGAGCTGGGCAGGAAAGGATGGAAATCTCTTCCCAGAACAGCACCTTGGTCAGAGTAACACAGCTGGAACCACCGGGCTGGCTTTAATAATGCCACCTGCCTGTTTTCTCCCTAGAGGAATATTTAAGAATAGCTGGTGTCATATAATGATTTCTTCCTGGAAGTGCACTGACGGATTTTTGTCCGGAATAAGAGACTTCCCTCCTCTGGGTTCCAGTTTCTCCACTCAGAGAAGGAAAGCTTGATTTCAGTCATGACATTTTCTTCACGCCCTGGGACTCACCCTAACCCTGTGGATGAGTAATTTAGTGTAGAGCTCTGAAGAGCTCAGACTCCGAGGCCAGCCTGTCTGGGTTTGAATCCTCACTCATTTCCTACCAGATTCATTTCCTTGGACAGATTCCTTAACCACTCTGGCTTGGTCTTCTCATCTGTAAAATGGGGGTAATAGTAGCACCGACCCAGTAGGTTTGCCATGAGGATTAAATAGGGTGATATTTGTAAAGAACTCAGCAAAGTATCTGGCACAAACCAAGTGCTTTCAGAGTGTTATAGTTACCACTACTCTTCCTACTTGTGCCACTGCTGCTGAGTCAGAATCGCAGTGGAAGTCACGGGAAACATTGAGCATCTCAGAGCTGGCTGGTCTTGAACCGCTCATTCGTCTTCAGCTCTCTTAGATTCGGTAATATACAGGTTTGCCCTGTCCTTTGGCATATGTTTGTCAGTTGTGCAATTATAGGAACCAGAGAGCACCCACCTCTAGACTTGTACTTCTCCACTCCCTCTGGGCCACTGTTGCGAGAGAGAAGCGAGGCCCGGTGCCGTGGTAATTGCTTTTATGAATTCCTAGCCTAGCCTGCTGAGTCCTTCGTCTGCTACTAAGTAAGTCTCCAGATACTGGAGACTGAGCTCTGGTGTCATACTGAGAGACACACCTCCCAGATTTCATATTATTCTGGAAATTCTCCCAGGCATACAGCTTTTTATAGAGTACAGGAGTATGTATTAAAAATTAAAATGAGAAAGTACCTGTTTTTCTAGGAGCTGTGGAGAAGCAGGATGTTTAAATGGTTATGTCCACATTAATACCTGTTTTGAAACTTATACTTGCTTTAGAAAAATAACAGCCCAGTGGTGCCTTCTGCTTGCTTTGCTGAGGACAGGAGCTGACACATGTTAACTCCACTGGAAATCCTGGAAAACCATCTTAATGGACTTTTTAATGGCACCATAATAGACCATGGTATTTGTAGTTAAGGTCTGGAAAGAAATCAGCCGTTGTCAGAAAAAAGAAAAACAACAATCTGGGCTGCCATTCTTTACAATTAGATTTCCAAAATACTTAAAAAGATAAGGGCTTTTGTTGCATGCTATTATTTTAAACTAGTTCAACATTGAAATTGGAAAAAAATATTTTTAATGTAAGCATAATTGGTATACAATACAGTGTTAGTTACCTTAGTTTCAGGGGTACAATACAGTGATTAGACATTTTTATACCTTACAATGTGATCTCCTCACTAGTTCTAGCATTCATCTGTCACTGTGCAAACTTATCACAAGATTATTGACTGTATTCCCTTTCGCCTTTTTCACTCATTCCCCCACTGGCAACCATTGGTTTGGTCTAAGTTTCCGTGAGTCTGTTTTTGTTTGGTTTTGTTCTGTTTATTTGTTNCCTTTTTCACTCATTCCCCCACTGGCAACCATTGGTTTGGTCTAAGTTTCTGTGAGTCTGTTTTTGTTTGGTTTTGTTCTGTTTATTGGTTTGTTTGTTTGTTTGTTTTGATTACACATGTAAGTAAAATCACACAGTATTTGTCTTTCTCTGATTTATTTCACTTAGCATAATACCCTCTAAGTACATCCGTGTTGTTGCAAATGGCAAGATTTCATTCTTTTTTCTTGCTGTGTGATATTCCATTTTGCATATATACCATTTGTCTTTATATTTATCCATTTGTCTGTTGATGGACACCTAGGTTGCATCCATATCTTGTCTATTGTAAATAATGCTGCAGTGAACACGGGTGCATATATCTTTTTGAATTAGTGTTTTCATTATCTTTACATAAAGACTCAAAAGTGGAATTGCTGGGTCATATAGTAAATCTATTTTTAGTTTTTTGATGAATCTCCATACTGTTTTCTATAGTGACTGCACCAATTTGCAGTCCCATAGGTACAGTGCACAAGGTCAGTTCACAACAAACCTAGCCTTAAGCTGATGTTTTTGGTACTACATTTTATTTTAGACAGACATTTTTGGCATAGAGCTAGAAAATTAATGATGAGACAACTATACTTTAGAGTGGTATGATTGTTAGCATCAGATGAAACTTTGGAGATGGTGGCTTGACTGTGATTGCCCGCAAGTGAGTGCTCTATGATCTTTCCAATTTCTCAGATTTAGATTAGTTGTTTGGGTATGAAGAGATATATCCAAAGTATAGCATTTCTGGCTTAAAGATAATAAGTTTTACACCCATTCTTTATGAAGGAGGAATTTCTATATTTACTGTAGATCATCTGCAGAAGTGTGCACCCCTTTAACTTGTAATTCTGTAATACTTGTAATGACCCAAGTAAAAACTCTTAAGTCCTTGTTCTGCTAATATCATTATGACATTAAAATGCCTTATGACCCAGCGATTCCACTTCTGGGAATTTATCTGAAGAAACTAGAAACATTAACTCAAAAGAATATATGCACCCCCATGTTCGTTGCAGCGTTATTTACAACAACCAAGATTTGGAAGCAGCCCAAGGGTCCATCAGTAAATGAGCAGATAAAAAAGCTGTGGTACATTTACACAATAGAATACCACTCTGCCATAAAAAGGAGAAAATTTTACCCTTTGTGACAGCATGGATTAACCTGGAAAACATTATGCTGAGTGAAATAAGCCAGTCATAGAAAGACAAGTACCATATGATTTCATTCATATGTGGAATCTAATGAACAAACTGAACAGTCAAGCAAAATAGAGACAGACTTAGAGATAGAGAGCAGGCGGACAGTTCTTGGGGGAAGTGGGGGGGGAGTTGAGCTATAAAGAAAAAAGAGAACTCATGGAGATGGACACAGCAGTGTGGTGATTGTGGGGATGGGGGGTGGAGGTGGAAGGGGCTGTAGAGGGGATAAATGGTGGTGGAAAAATAAATTTAATTAATTAAAAAAGAAAAAGAAAAAGCTCTATTGTGCATTTTACTCATCTATTGCTATCTAGTGTTTATAAACATGAGAAATTGGGCCATGTCACACTCTCAATAGTGTGTAGCAATTGTATTAAATTCTTGGAGAGAACATAACATGGCTTTCTCCTTTAGAGATTTCCCTAAGATTAAATAGACACTAACTAATAATGAAATTCAAGATTCTGAATGTACTGTTCTCATATAGAAAGAAGAACCTAGACTTTCAATTGGAGGGTTAGAAAGAATCAAAGATGCTTGCTGCTGACAAATTTAATGGGAGTGAGGTTGGATCACTTAGTCTAGGAGCTGTTCTACATGGTTTACTATCTAACAAGAGGGGGAGAGAAGGCAAGTTTGATTTATTAAAATGGCTATAGAATCCAAATAAAAATTCATAGCTCAATCAAATAAAGCGTCAGAATTGTAGAGAATCAGAAAGTGNTTTATTAAAATGGCTATAGAATCCAAATAAAAATTCATAGCTCAATCAAAGCGTCAGAATTGTAGAGAATCAGAAAGTAGGTTCCTCTGAAGACAGAGTACCTTTGAAATGAATTAGTAGACAGCACTGAGCTACTTAATAGTTAGGTTAAGTACTTGTCTGCTTTGGTAGTATTTTCCCATGGTGTGTGCCATTTCTGTGAATGCCATGCAGAGTCAATAGGCTCTGGGTACATAACTAATGACATCTCTGACTAGAGC